TCGCAGACGAAATTAATGTGCATTTGCATGATCCTGGAGTCAGGAAGTGCCGCATAGCCCGAAACACTTGTGACTGAACAGAGGATGACGATGGCTGGCGTGCTAGTATTGATGATGATGATGATGGAAAATGATGCCGACAATTACGATGTACGTTCTGAGTGAATCGCTGAACCGAAGTAAATTGGATTTTCAACACGACTACAGAAAGGCATAGAAAGAGACAGACGTGAAACACAGACATACACGACAACAGACATACAGACAAAACACAGACGTTTAGACAAAACACAGACATACAGAAAAACAAAGACATACAGACAAAACACAGACATACAGACAAAACACAGACGTACAGACAAAACACAGATATACAAACAAAACAAAGACATACAGACAAAACACAGACGTACAGACAAAACGCAGATATACAGACAAAAAACACAGACATACAGAAAAGCACAGACATACAGACAAAGCACAGACATACAGATAAAACACAGACATACATAAACAGAAACAGACATAAACACAAAGAAACGTGAAGACCTACGGACATGTATAAGTATAGAGTATAGAGAGAGAGAGAGAGAGAGAGAGAGAGAGAGAGAGAGAGAGAGAGAGAGAGAGAGAGTCAGCCAGGCGTGGAGCACGGAAACTTGTTAAAGTGTACATCCATCCATGGAGCTATCGAGTGTAGCATGCTAATGATGCATCGCCAAACAACCAACAGCAGCAGATCGCCTGCAACTTCAACCAGGTTCCTTGCTGCTAATTTCAATCCGCCTAAATACTTTAACCTTTTACTTCGTTATCACTTTCAATTGATTGTTTCTAAATGCTTTTGAAGGCGGGCGTAGTAAGCAACTGCCCAGCGAATATAAAAAATTCTACTTGCGACATAATCCGTTAAAATACATTAAAATGATAAATTGAATGTGAACGATGAGTTTTGAATTTTTGAAATTTTGAAAATAGTGGAGGAGATGGGATCATTTTTAGGAAAATTCCCGAAATTTTTGAACTTGTAAAGAAACGACGATTCAAATGGAAAGCGAATCTCGTGAATTTATCTTGCAGTATTAAATTCTTCTAAAGGTGACGCTCACGTGATCTCATTCAGTTGCGTCCTGTAGAACAAAGGAAAAAATCTCTCCTAGCGAATGAAATATCATTATTATAATTATTTCAAGTGGTACTGCATAGCCTCTCGCCAACCAAATATAGAAAAATCAAGGAACAAATTAAAATGAGAATATATAAGATGGAGTTAGCAAAAACAGCGTCAACAGAATTGAACTAAATATAAACACGTGAACCTATTAAAACATACGCAAAAACCAAAATGATGATAAATAAATTGATAAATGAGACAAACGAATTTAATTTTAATTCAACAAGCAAAATAGATTTAAGTCTACAGGTACACATATCAAGTACAAACTAGAAATTAGATTTTTTTTTTTTTTTTATTTTTTTTTTTTTATTATTTTTTTTTAAACAAGTTTATTTCATGAAAACACATGAAAAAGGATTCCAAAAGAAACCAAAATTCCGAATAACAAGGAACCCCACAAAAAATAATAAAACACATTAATGTTGTCAAACGTCAGTATCAATTTTTAAAAACTAATTAGTATTGTTACAAAATTTTAGAATTAAAAAACATATGCATAAAATTAAACTTGTTGCAACGAGAAAGAAAAAATTTTATCACGAAAAGAAAGAAATTCAAATAAAATGAATTAAATAAATTAGAATTACCTTAAATATAAAACCAAAATATAAAACCAAAATATAATATCAAAGAAATGCGTATAAACAAGAAAAAACAATAAAACAATATTGTATACTAAATAAAATTAATTAAGATAAACATAAAAGAAATTTTTTTAATTTATATTTAAATGGTCGATAAACAGTACAAGTTCTTATAAAATTTGATGGTCTGTTCCATTTATATACCCCATAAAAACATATATTTCTATTGAGTAGTTTGGTGTTAACAATAGATTCTTTTAATTTTTTTTCAAAATTGGAACTCGGTGGTCTTGCCTTGATTTCATATTTAAATGAATCATGTAGGTAATTGTCTGATGGACTTATAGCACTATTAAGAAATCGAAAAATAAAACAACAGCATTTAAGATAATTTATTTGAAATATCGATAGAATCTTAAGTTTATTGAAAAGGTCTTTTTTATCTATATCGATTTTAAAATTTGAAAACTGAACTGAACTTGGAGTCACCGTAGTAACTATCGACTGCTGACCTGAAACCGCTCAGGGAGATGGCATCAGCAGCGGCTCAAGGCAGTTTGTCCCATTCTCCCACCATTCTATTCGGAAAAAAATTTACAACAGTCTTGAAATTATGGCCCCTTGTAGGAACATCGTGTGCACACAGTAACGTAGGGGCAACATCGGCAGGGAGCTGACCATGTATTATTCTATATAACAAAACAAAGTCGACTTTTAGACGTCTGTAGACCTGAGATGGCAACTCCAATTTCCTCAACCGGTCCACAGACCTATGCAAAATGTTCTTACGCGCGTTGCCCTTCTCTGAACTTTTTCACCTCATTTATTAAACTGACTTTGTATGGACTCCATACTCGGACACCATACTCCATGTGCTACCTCACCAATGACTTGTATGAAGTAACGAGAGCTTCATTTGAAGGGTATTTGAAATTCCTTGCAATGACACCTAGGATAGAGTTTTCTTTGTCAACTACTTTAGAAACATAACTATTGAATTTCAATTTATAATCTATTATGCCTCCAAGATCTGAAACTTCTTTAACCAGCGGCAGACGAATAGATCCGTTGCCGTCCCAAATTGTGTAGGGTTAGCAAGGTTAGTGGGAGCAAAATTTTAACAACTTAAATTTTTCAGTGTTCAATTTCAATTTCCAATTATTAAGCCAAACTATTAATTTACCTATATCGCGCAAAAAACAGTTTTTGTCCTCTTCACTCTTCAATACCTTGTAGATTTTTGAATCATCTGCAAAGAGTAGGATATTGTCACATACATATAAAATGTCGTTAAAATAAATAAAAAAGCGACGGACTTAAAACCCCAACCCTTAAGATCCGACTCTAAACCGGATTTGTCTCTGATAAGGCATCATCAAGTATGACCTGAAAAGTTCTGTCGCAGAGATATTTCGCATTAATCCATTTTACTATCTTTCCATTCACACCCTACCCTTAAAGTTTGACTGCGGGTAACTTTGCCAAACGCTTTTTTTTAGATCCATGTAGACTACATTGACCTAATGACCCTGGTCCACTCCCTCAGTTATATCTTCCAAAAATTTCAAAAGTTGCAAATCCGCAGAACGTCCAGGGAGGAAACTAAATTGACTTTTTTGAAAAAAGACTTTTTTTTGATGAAATGTTTCATGACATAGTCCTTTATCAGGGCTTTCATGGTTTTACAACTAATTGATGCAAGTGCCACTGGACGATAGTTTTGGGTCAGGTCTTTTCTTCCATTCTTATACAACGGTACCACATGACTTAACTTCCAATCATCGAAAACAACCCTTTTATTTAATGATCGCTGAAATAACCTGCACAAATAGGTACTAATCAAACCAAGCATTTTCAACAAAACTCTAGGATCTATTCCATTTGCTATAAATCTAAATATCAAAATAAAAATAATGAAACCGGGGTTACTTGTTATTTCCTTAACGCAATTTGGATAGTTAAAAATCTCAATCTGACTATGCATTTGCGAAAAAATGAAAAAAGCCGTTTATTTATTTGTTTTTTTAAACACAAAAATATTCATACACAAAAGCACATAAAAGGATAGATTGAAAGAAAAATTCCAAAATTCTGTGTTACAAGGCACAAATCATTTAAAAAGTAAATTAATTAATTAATATGTGACTTAATAAGTAAATTTATTAATTAATGAGTGAATTAATTAGTAAATTAATTCATTAATGAGTGACTTGATAAATATAGTTGAATGTTTATGAAACGCAAAAAAAAATATATAAAATATGCAGGCTTAATTTATTTATGTGAGTCTCGTAAGATTTTTTAAATAATATTTTGATGACATGGAAGCTAAATTTAAAAGTTAAATAAAAACTTGGTATACAAAATCATTTATTATTATTAATATCATTGTTAGTATTATTATTGTTGTTGTTTCTAAACTTTATCAAATGTAATTCAAGCCAGTAGGCCAGTGGATGGATACATTTCATACTGGATAATAGAAATCTCAACAACATTCTACTTGTAGGTAGATGAGACTTCGTTCAAATACAACAACAGATGATGATAACAAAACAAACTTCATTTAAAAAGTTGTATGAAACTATAGAGACCTGGTAATGAACAAACGTTTTGCCATCTATCGCTGAAATGAAAGCAGCGGTTTATGTTCCGCACACCTCCAATGATGATTTTATAACTTCTTTCTTGCAGACAAAATTAAATAAATAAAAAAAAAACAATGCAATGTAAATGTTTGTTTCTACTAACAGTAATTGTTTGTAAATGTGATTAGCATAATACACACATATATTTTTTTGTTTAAATTTTTTTTTATTTATTTACATATATTTAAATATATTCACGCTTATGTTTTTATTTTTTTCCCAACATTTATGTTTATCTATGTATACAACGTCCAAAAATATATACAATCCTATCTGTACAAACATATTTGTGAGCGATATATGAATATATGAACTGATCATACATAATGCATTGTTGCTCCGATATAAAGTCTAAACTGATGCTAATAACTAATTGAAAGGGCTTGCTTGAGTTATCTTTACTATTGATAAGCATCCAGCGCTACAAATGTTTCTTATTTATGATCTCTTCTGCCGATTCTTTTTTCTACCTTTGTTCATTTTAGTTTTTGTTTAGTTAGTCCGTTTTAAAATTAGGCAGTTAGTTAATGTACTACAACATTTACTTTCAAAATAAAAAATTATTCCATTTCACTCGCAATACAAATTTTGTTAATTTTGGAAAAGTAGGAAGCCCGAAAAGCTGGTGTAGTCGTTGAGGATGGCAGAATGTTTCTCCAGGAGCAACCACACGTGGTCTCCTTTTTTTAGGTTGAAGACGACGGATTGTGAGCCTGTCGAGAAGCCAGTGTCGACGCGATTGCTGTGGAGTGGCGATCGATGGCGGCTGTTCATCATGAGCCAGGCACTGATGCTCGTTGAGTTCTGACTGACTACATGCGCTGTGAACGTTAAGAGATTGGAGTGTTAACTTTGCAAGTGGTTTTGAGAATTTTAAAATTCATTATTTTCCAAGTTTTTTCAAGCCAACAATTCGTTTGAGTAAATAGCAACAAAAAATATTACAGCACCATTTAAACATTTGCCAGTATTGCAAAGCCAAAACATTCGTTAACTCATTCAAAACTGTGCCTTGAATGTAAACAGATGCTGGTTAATTAGGCATAATTTTTCTGTTAAAAGGCACCATGTTATACAAAGAGAAAAAAGCGGCAAGTAATTTGAAGTAAATTAATAACAAAGGCAAGGTGTAGAAGATTATGATGACAGATGATGCAGCTGCTGATGATGAAGATGAAGTGGGCGATGGTATGGAACATCTGAGTGACGAGAGTGATTAGAAAACGTTAGTTAAAGTGCCAAATAAGTTAATAAACGCTGAGATGAAATATGACAGCGGATTAAAAATGGCTGGTATTGAAAATTTGAATTTAAAAGTGGTTTTAATAATTTCATTTAAAAAAAATCGTGAAATTGTAATATTTTACATTTATTTTTTTCAAAATGATTTCAACAAAATAAGATATTAACAATATTCTGTATTAACTCAAATTAATAATTAATTTAAGCTGTTTATGAGAATCGTGTAGCTATCTCCATTAACTAACCTGTAAAAAAGTACGTGCCATTGACTTTGCAGATGAAATGCGACGAGTAGACATCAAAGGAGTCTCCGACATTGGACAGCACCAGATCAAAAGTGATGGTCGTATCCTGGCCGACCGGTCCCAACTTCTGCGTCCTCACAACTGAAAATGCAACACGAGCGAACCCTTCAACGTGAGGTTCCCCTTTTGAACCTTTTACACCAACAAATCCGGTGTAACCTCGCTCCCCCTTGTCTCCCTTTGATCCCACTTCACCTTTGTCTCCGCCCGGCCCTTTCTTGCCTCTGTCTCCAGGTGGGCCTAAGGGCCCAATCGGTCCGATGGGTCCTTGTATTAAAATATTATATTAAAATAGTTTTTTCAATTAGTAATTTTGTTGCTTTATTCAGCTTTCCATCGAGTCGTTTCAGTGAGTATAATGTACTTAAATAAGTTTATTAGACACAAACCAATGGATCCTATTTCTCCTTTGCTACCACTATCGCCCTTATCTCCCTTGTTGCCATCCTGACCACGTGATCCATGCAATCCAGGGACTCCAGGTATTCCCGGAGGTCCAGCTGATCCTGGGCGGTGGGAGCAGCCGCAGTGGTGGTGGTCTCTATCTTCTTCCGTTTCATGTTTGATAGCGAATGTGGGTGGGTGGAGGAGGTGGGTTATGAAGAGGGTGATGGAGAGGGTGGTGAGGGTGGGTGGGCCGGTGGGCAGCAACATTTTCTGAAAGTTTAGTAGTTTAATTTTTTAAACGCTTGTCGTTATCAATCAGAATTTCATCGCATGTTTTTCCATTTGAAAATTAATTTTTATTTTATCTTAATTTAAGTTTTTTTTTTCATTTATCTTTAAAACTTAAGATCGGTCATTTAAAATGAAACTTTATGGAATTTAAAAATAAACAATGAAGTATTATAAAGATTATGTTGGAAATTGTGAAAATAAGAAAAACAATTGTTACATCTATCATGAAAACTGCAACAAACAACCTCAGCACATATGAGAAATGAAAAGTGAAAAAATGTTTGAATTTGAAGGGAAATTTCGAAGATTGTACTTTTTTGGTTGTTGGGTTCAAATAAAAGAAAGTTTTTATATATTGGATAAAATAACAATGAGAAACATGTTTTTCCCCAGTGGTTTATAATCAATGGGACAGTGAATGAGCTACAGATCAGGTTCGTATGATTTATACGGGAACTGTTTATGAATCGGAATGAAAAAATTTGAAGTAAAGTTTTCAACTACTTCTATTATTTCATTTGAAACAAAAATAGAATTCTTTGGGATAATCTATTGAGAGGTGCGCAGATAAAAATGATAAAATTTGACAAACATTGGCTCCAGGCATTAATAATTGCATATTCTTTCAAGCGCAATTAACACAAGGGAATTTTTTTGCGAGTTAAACGTTTTCAACCAACGTAAGACAAAATGTAATGTCAGTCGACCCCATTTCATTTCAGCAATCTATCAGTCAATAGCATTGTAACGTTATAATCTGCCTACAGATATACAAATTATACAAACTATTCCTGTAATTTCTTACGGAAAATATGAAAAAATAACAAAAAGAAAATAGAGTATATGAAAAAATGTTAGAGATAAAAATTATTTGAGAAAAAATTGAAGTGTGGATTGATGAGTTGAATAACTTTCCTCACCTAGTCCATCAATAAAACAACCATTTCACCCCATCTCATACCATCTCATCTCATTCCATCCCACTTCATTCCATCCCAATCCATTATCTCGCATCCCACTTCATCTCGTCCCCATCCTATTCCATCGATAGATAGATAGATAGATAGATAGATAGATAGATAGATAGATAGATAGATAGATAGATAGATAGATAGATAGATAGATAGATAGATAGATAGATAGATAGATAGATAGATAGATAGATAGATAGATAGATAGATAGATAGATAGATAGATAGATAGATAGATAGATAGATAGATAGATAGATAGATAGATAGATAGATAGATAGATAGATAGATAGATAGATAGATAGATAGAT